AGTTTGACAAATTATTGTTATTATTGACAAGGGCTATCCACCTGTAACTATCTGTTAATGACAAAAACCATCTTTGCCGCTTTGACTTTTTATTAAAAAATTGTGGAACAAAACTTTTTTAATATAAAAAATTTTCGTAATAGGCCAGGCGAATTACGACAAAAACTTTCAAATATGGTTCTAACGTGACCTAACTTAGCTAACTATTGGAATCGCTCGGGAATAGTATACCAATTGAAAATATGGAGGTGCGCCAGCTTGAAAAGTTGTGCTATTTGCATAAACAGTATAATGTACCTCCTTTATTTTAAACTTACCCTTACTTGCTTGGGAAGACAATTGGAATAAGGGTTCTTCCGAAATCTGATAAATCTTAAATAAATTAGATTCTACTTCAGAATTTACATTCGGGAGTACTACTTCTACCTTCGGAGGCGGTGTCAAACGTGTAAAATCATTATCAGTGTCACAATTATCAGATGCATAAAATTCATTGTGGTTTTTTTAGATTTCTATGACCCTACCCCAAAGGCTTATTGGTTTCAGGCCCCCTTTCTCCTTCAGACATTAGTCTTACATACTCTCTTGCCTCTGCATAAGACTGAAGTAAAAAAATATAACAAATTTTAAATTTTCGCAGATATAAAATATACGCAGTATAATAAGATCTAATATATACGCAGATGTAAAATTAAAACTAACCAGTTCGTTTTAAAACAAGTTCTTCCAGTTGGTCCCAATTACACATATCAGGAGCCGGTTGGCCCCTAATATGTTTCCTGGCATTTTTTTTTTGGCCAAAAGCAAAATGCCATGTCGTCTTCTCTTAAACAGAACACCCATGTCGATGGAACATGCGATAATTTGTCATCGCAATTTTACAACTAACCATTTCTTAAAAATTTTAAACGAGATATGTATTTATCTGCACTTAAATAATAATTGCTAATATAATATTATATATTTAAAAAAATACTAATACTAACAAAAAGTCACTCAAGGCTAATGACAGTATTATTTACTGTCTTTATATTTCTCATAGCAAACTTTTGTAGATGTGCAGGAAATAACTGATAATAATGTATGTAAATATAGATAAATTAACAGTGAATCAATGGAATGATCACAATACCATCCACAGTTTGGAAATTCAAACATTTTGCTTCTATTTCACAAATTTCATGATTTTCGCTTTGCATTGAGATGTTGGATAAAAATACTTTCATAAAATGGTTTAACATTTTGTGTTACCGTTAAATTACGTATATACATTTTATAAACAAACAAGAAATTTCCACTACTCAACAAAATAGAATTATTTTTCGTTGTTGCAAACTAAGTTCCAAATTGACCAGTTACAACCTCTTCAAAAATGAACAATTTGGATAGTCTGACAAATAAATTTCAATTTTCTGATGGCCGTTTGGGACACGCTTCTTTATTAAAGAGCATTAAGTTTTATCCTTTTTCTTGAAACCAATTACATAATTGCTGCAGGGGATGCTTAGATGTTTTTATATATTTCTTTAAGGTATATAAAGAATTTTCAAACTAAAACGAACCAAATGAATCGAGTATTCCATGTTTAAAGCACTCTGAAGGTAAATGTAAAATTGTTATATTCAGGTCCATAAATAGCTGGCAATTTGCCAATGAAATATTTCAAAAGTTGACATGCTTAATTATTATTCGTAGTGTACAAATTTTTGCTACACAAAATTCTTATGGCAACCTGCAAGCACATAAAATGCAAATACTGAATTTTCCATAAATCATTCTTTAAAACAAATGGTCGAGTATATAGCAAAATTTGTCGAAATTCGGTTGCTTTAAAATGCTCAACTTCCATCAAACTTTTTGGTAACCGGGAAAATTCTTTTGGAATGTTTGACTTTAAAATTTTTAAATTTTCATCTACAAATTTTAGTTTTTTTTCAGGGAATCAGACACTTATTTTTCTTAACCCAAAATATAATGAGTCGGTTCATAACTCCCAGACATACTAAATGCATGTAATCCAATGGCACTTGTGACATTAAATCTATAGATAAATCATCAGAAGGACTTGTCCCTTGGTGATAATCTTCACAATATTTGTTTTTAAAGTCCTCATATGTGCACAGGCTGGCTAATACATCTGGAAAAATTACTCTTTAGTTCAAATATTCACCTTCTTGCACACACTTTGTACAGCTAAAATAGCCGGTATGACCCTTCACACATAAAATGAAAGATTTAGCAGGTGCATCGCACACAATTTTTGAAATTCTCAATTTCACTATGACCTGTTTAAAGTGAAAGCCATTTTCTAATTTTTTAAACTATCTTTTAAATTCTTGCAGATGATAAACTCCTACCGGAAATGGACAAAATAAGGATTGACTCATCTTCACAAAGCCCTGACAGAATTACATTACCTAAAGTATTTAAGTTATTCTCTAACATATGCTTCAATTCAAAGTGACAATATTTTCCTGGTGAAACAATTGATATTGGAAATTGACACCTCTGTGGAGTACTTACTAGTTACCTATTATCACTTGGTAAAGTTACGCATTTTAGTTTTAAAACCACAAGTAGTTCATTCATTACACTTTGACTTAACTGGTGTCGATATTTTAACATCCAGCTCCGCACAGAATATCCCCGTCGACCATGGTCTTCTCTTTGGAAGATAATGTTAAAGGTAAATTATAATGAGAATAAGCCGGATAACCGGGATAACCACCGCATGCCGGTGATAAATTTGTCTCAATTGCCTCCGTGTTGGCTAAAGAACACTAGGAAATCTACTAGATTTGGATTACTTTTTAGTTTGCAATTATCTAACACCATTTCACCATCGGTTTAACCCATACATCTAAAATTTGAGAATTCTTTTTGCACTTCCTTGTTTACCAAACGCCGAAGATATGCCTCTTCGAAATCATTTTTTCATTGCTCGGCCCATTTTACTGCCCTCAAATAAACTTGTATCTCTTAGAACACAAATGAATTGAACAACTCGAAAGTATACCAGCATAACATGGTCTACGTGGTCTAAGTTACATGTTATTTAATTATATGACCCTATTTTAAAGTTTCTACAATTAAAAAGTATAGGTACGAACGGATACTGCATTATCACTTATTTTGATAAATCAGTTAAGTACTTCTGTATTAACAAGTAGTGTAATAAATGTCAATGGAAAATGAAATAAACCACCTTTGAATCATGAGCCCATTGTTCAAGTCATAAATGAAAACTGGTTCGGTTGATTTCTACTTTCGTGATCCCTCATCATTAAATCTCCCTTCCAGCTATTGAACTTTCTATCCAGGAACCAAAAAATGTGCAATCTGGAGCTACAAATGGAAATTACGTGGAAATTACAAGCAAAAATAGCCATAAATCTCCTTCAATGGAATATATGTGCTAGAGCCCGGCTTGAGATCAGTTCAGAATTTGTATAGGCGACTATTTAAAACTCGTATTTCCAACATTATCAAACTCACAAGGTGCAAATATATGGCAAATATATGTATATGCACCTTGTATACTTTTATAAAATACATTACATTATTGAATGAATAGTCCGAATTACTCTATAATCCGAACTACTCTATAATCCGAATTGACCAATGGGGTCATTGCACTTTTTTTTTTCTTTCATAAAATTGATAAGATGAAAACATTTTACAATGTTGGTGAAAAAGTCATAGGGTCAACTTCTTTCCGCCAAGAACATGGATGCATGATTTGAGACCTCYGAMTGGGTAATTTACAAAAAGAAATACCTGATCTAGTCGAATTAGTGAACAGAGTGAATCGTGCTGGTGATGCGATAGATAATTCAAAAGTTGAAAAATGGGTGTTAAACAAAATTTATTTCTGTTATTTTCGATGCAAATATTTAGTGAACAAACATTAAGATAAAAAGCTTAAAGATGACGAAATTTTAGTTGGCAAAAATCAAAGCCACAGAAAGTCTGTTATCATAATATTGCCGCCTAAGCAATCATGCTATCGTCATATCGCCAATAGTTTTCATGTCATGAAAGTTAAATTAGCGTTTCAATTATTGAACAACCAAATGGCAAGTGTTATTAGAAAAGCAAGCTTCAGCTGATTTTCTCGAAAATCTTAATGCGGTTATATGTGGCTGTAATTCGTATTATTTAATTTCTACAAATCCACTGAAGCACGCATTATCCGATAGGCCTTCAGAGATTCAGCAGCATCTCGAAAAGTTTGTTGCATGGTCTAAAGTCTAAACAATGGGTCGCGCAACATATAGAAAAACATGTTTCAAAACCACCATGCTTACCTGGAATTTCTTTGACTGTACAAGCTTTGCTTAGTCTTTATGATGATTTAAAATTAGATTTTCCAAATTTTGAGTTAGCAACAGGCTTTTGCAATAACGATTCGGTCGAACATATCAATGCAAAAGTACGTAAAAGAGGTGGATTTAATGCACGTGTAGAATGCATCGATTAGCATTTCGTCATATTTTATCAACAGATTTTGTTCATAGCAGTAAGAAAAAACGTTATGTATCAAGGTTCGGGTTCTTTAATAGAACAAGTAGTGAAGATATTTGTTACATGAGTTAACGATCAATGGCCGAGACTTTGTTTTTAAAATATTTATTTTAAAATTACAAAGTTGACTGTTAACAATTTTTATGTACCAAACTCTTTGGTGGTTTTCAGCTGACTGC